AAAACCCAAAACAATGAAACATTTTATAGGAACTCTGCATGTGGTCATTTCATTTGTTTGTGGATGACAGATAGAAGTTTTATATTATTACTGAGTTGTCTGCCTTTCGACTGCCTTTGTCTTAGACTACGTAACTGCTTCCGGTCTCTGTCCGCGTAGATCGCTTTCCTTCCTTGTCTCGGGTATATTCTTTTTATGATTCCAATGACATAACTCATAAGGCTCACATAAACATATGATAAAAAGAACCTTAAGAGAACATTTACATTAGTGCCATTTCAGGAATGTAGAACTTCTTTTGGTAATGTACTATTTTATTAATCATGTTTTATAGAAAAAAATTCTTTCTAGGTAGCACAAAAACTACTTCTGGGTCATATTATTTTATTCAAGCCATTATAATGCTATAATAAAAAATGGAATTGATATTATCTAAAAAGAGTTTAAGCAAAATTTTCTACAACAAAATATTTATCTCATGTCTTTGGGTGGAAGTTTTGTTGTCATAGGCCAGCTTATTTGTATTCCAAGTAGTAGTACAATGTGCTAAAAATGGACTGACCCAATCTAAACCAAATGCACTATTGTTAGCATGTGGATTCCAACTCAGGGCAGCCCACTGTAGGGTTTCTGAGACATATGAGTATATAAGTTTGAATTTCAGCTCTCTTTTTTTAAGCTGTAACTTTGGACAATTTATATAATTTTTCTGAGTATCAGTACCTTTTTAATAAGGTTTTAGAAAGCTCTGATGAGATCCATATGAAAAATGTGGATACATTAAAGGAATACCATGAATGGTACAGTTATTTTCTTAATTGTTTTCTATTTTTGTCTTGGAACTGTTAGTGAGGAATAAGAGGTAATGCATATCTCCATCTCCCAGGAGTGTGTTTTCTGGCACAAACAATAATGATAAATCTACTCAAATGCTTACTTGATCCACAGCTAATAGTTTACAATAAGCTGTGTTGATTTTTGCCTCTTTGATATAACTTGACCTGTAAAACAAAATCTACATGCAGACTCTTATAAGAGATATATATGTACAAGGGGAGACATTATCCAAAGAGGAAGATGGGCAGAAAATGATGGAAAACAGAGTAAGCCTTTGGGGAGGTATGACCAGTTGTCGAAGGTAAAACTGATTATCTGCTCTCTAATCCTTCCCCCAATTCACTATTAAAAGTTTAAAAAAGAAGAAGAAAGTTCATAGAACACACTGAGATCAGAGGAACTAGACGATGTTCTAAGGAACAAGACTAATTCCTTAGGTCTGGACTTGAATTTACCCTCTTGGTTTTTTTGCAACACTAAACAGGTCTCTAAGGGGAGCCAATAACATTAATGAGGCACACACAAATTAGGCTAGTCCCTGTTTGTGATCAAGGAGGCAGCGTTGTCCGAGAACAAACGTTAACAAGGGGTTAGGAGTGAAGAGGGATGAAGGTAGGACACAGGGAGGAGGTGCAAAGATAAGTGGTGTTGCAGTGAGCGGATTGCAGTGAATGAAATGAAGCAAAATGTGTATGAACCATTAGATCAAACCGGATGATCTCTGTAAACCTCCATTCAATTCATAATAAAATATTTATTTTTAAAAGATCATGGAAAAGAGAAAAGATCATGGAATTTCCCCCACAACTTCCTGAAATGTCATAGAAAAATATGAATTATCATTAAAAAACCCATAACATTTGAAAGGAATAATCATTGAACGGCATGTAGCTCTTTTTGTTTTTCAGAATAACTCCCCTTGTAATATCCCTGCTTTAGATGGGCAACGA